GTGGATAATCCATATGTACTTCCAACACATGAGAGGCATTGGCCAAGCAGCAACCTCTGTGGCTGGCAAATGAAGCCAACACGGAAGTAACAAAAGCTGCAGTTCCTTGAACGGTCACTTGAGGTTGGCTTCATAAGGTCCCATATTAAAATGCTCAACTTAACAGCAGTAATAAACATGTTTACAGCCTGGTACACAAAAAAAAAGCCTGGTTTTGGTCTCTATAGCATGAATGTTTATCAGTCAGTCAGGACTGCCAAAATGGCGACGGGCAAAGGCGACCACAGGGAGCTTCACAGCAGCTCTTCACAAACCTATGGGTGACGTCACAGAGACGTTGTTCATTTCTAATTATACAATATACAGCACTGACATACAAATGTGTCAAAGCGAAAGTGAAAGTCACAGAATTTTCTATATGGAGATAAAGTACAGTAAAGTTTCAAGTAAAAAGTGCCAGTCAAATTATGGTTATGAAGCACCTAAAGTGCCAAATGAGAACTCATTAAGGGTTTTAACTTATTGGTAACTTTCATAGGCCACGACAAATACGTCAGTGAGTATTAGACATTTTTTACTTGTACCAGTTATTCCTCCATGCATATTCACATAAACTCAAGCAACCCCAGCACAGACAATTACACTAATCAAAACCTCTCTAACCTTTTTTAATTATAATTGTCGACTTCCTTTAGAGAGGAGGGAGCTTATTGATTATCGGAGCTCCTGAATCCAATTAGCCGCCACCAGCTGTACAGGGTTTAGGCCTCAGTGCCTTGATTGCGCCCCACAAGGGGACTTGAAAAGCGGAGATACCCTGTGGCTTTAGAAAAGGCTCTAACAAAGGTAATTGAATGAAGCCACAGGGTTGTCTGGGCTATTTTACTCATTTTAAAAGCCAAACTTATCCAACAAGGAGCAACAATGTTTTCAGTATTTATTTTGAACTGACTGATATTCTAAGCTGTAATTTCATTTTGATAGAGAAAAGTGGAATTTTGGGTGTGAAATATTTCAAATTTTCATGAAACAAATGCATCAACTGTTTGGCACCTCAAAGCCAGAGCACGGTGGAACAAGCCACGTGCTCTTTATCTGTGCCAGCTGAGAACACAAGACCTGCACTGTGTTGGGACACACACTGTATCATCTCTCTACTGCTTTCAATTCATCCCAGCTGGTGCCCAGTGCGGAGCTGCACACAAGAGGGCTGGCTATGTTCTACCTGCCTCATTTCACAAATCTTAGCGCTGACTGTGCTCTAATTCTAATGAGCATACTGTATAACACAGTGCTTTGTAAACACATTCAGACTTCTTTAGGATTTGCAAATGTTATTGTCCTATTAAAATATAGCAAAATGTATTTATTAAGGATGTTTTCATGTAAATCTTCCTGTTAATAAATTAAACAAAGTAGTGAGGAACCTGCAGTGAATCATCACCTGACTCTGCAGTTCTCCTCAGCTCTATGGAGTGTTTTAGTGTCTTTAAGTGTATTGTTTTGATTTTTGGGCCAGCAAACTCTGCTTTAATTAACATAATTTCCAGGTGCAGCAGACAACACTTTTCAGCCCAAAAAAAACCTCACTGTACAACGTCAGCCCATCAGCAAACAGAGACAGACCAATTTAGCAACTAGCTGGTGAAAACAGTTGAGCATTTAGCATCTAAAAAGCCAGCTATCTTTCTCTGGAGTTTGTAGAGACCAAAGCAGAGCTACAAGGAGAGTGAATAGTGGGAGTTTCATTTATCAGGCGGGCAGAAATGTAGATAAAACAGCTCATTCCAAGGTAAAAAAAAACACAACAATTCTTATTTTTATGCAGTTATACACTAATACATACTTACAAATATTGTATTCCATTTCTGCCAAAAATGTTACACACTGGACCCTTATTGCAGCTTTAACAACCAGCTGCAGTATTGCTTGAGCAGTTACTTTGATTGCCTTTGATTTCTTTGACAGTCTTTCTTCAGGACCCCATATATGGGTACACGGACCTGATTCAGACCCTAAAATGGCATCTCAGAGAGAGTTGTTCAAATGGTGCAATTTTCATCACATTTAAAAGTTGATGAAACAGTGAGGAGCAGTAATAACTACTTACAAGGTGTGTGGAGAAGGAGCTACTCTTAAGCTCCAGCAACACTTCAGTTTCATTCAAGTTTTCATCTTGAGCTTTAATACTTGGAAATGGTGAGAGCCAACTAGCAGATTTACATTAGTTGTAAATGATATAGTTTCTTGTATGGACAAAAGGAAGCATTGTGCTGCTGTTTCACCGACTTTTTAGAAGATACAGTTGATACAGGTTTGATTCAATTGCTTGTAGATGGCTCCAGAATTACCTTACTGAAAGAATTCAGTGTGTCAAATCTGGAAATATCCAATCAATGTTTTATCAGTAACAAAAGGTGTTCCACAACGACAAGTTGTCGGCCCTGTCTTGTTTACAATTTAAATTAATAAGGTTTTCTCTTCCAACTGTAATGTCCATCTCTATAGGGTTAATACCGTTCTATATTGTTTTGGATCCTCCGTCTGACTGTTGAAAACCTACAACTTTCTTCTAGTACACTTCAAGATGCTCTTGTCAAAACACATGGAATTATCTACATATTCTCAAAATTGACACTCTCACTACCACTGGACAATTTAAGGATGATGATCTCAAATTACTTGCAATTGTTTATATATTAATATATTATTATAATATTGTCCTCCTTTGAATTATTATTACTATTATACATTTAATTTTGAATTTGATTGGTTTATTTTATTATTATTTTAACTCTGAATATTAAGTAGATCCATTTACTAAAAAAATTGCATTTTCAGATGTATAACAGGCGTTCCTGTAGAAAAGGGTAAATCAACATTAAGTCACAGAGCAGGTTCTGTGGGCTGATGTTAGCTGCACCCTAATCAGCTATGTCACAGCAGGTCTTTAGCCTCTGACAGCTGATGAACGCTTTGCAATGACATCACCATGGCCAGAAGAGCAAAATATATGAAAATATGAACTAAATGGACATATAATAGATCCTGAGCACCCTACATCCATGTTCAGAGCCACCTGCTTTGCTGGAGAAGCTACTGATAGTTGTTGTTATGGATACAATTCAACACTATAATTGCTTCATCTTGTGCCATTTAATTACATGTTCTAGTCCTATACCTTGACTTGATGTAGGTGGTGTTTAATGTGGCATATGTACACCGTATATACATATATAAATGATGACCTATAGTAATATCAGTGTACTGTGACTTAGAAAGGATTAGAATTACATTCTCAGCAATCAAAATGTAGTTTGGAAAGTTGGAGTCTATATACTTAATACATTTAGAGATTACATTTTTTAAAGTCTACCTCTAGTCAAAAATCTGTCCCTACAGTGTGCTGTTTGA